TTGGTGCATAAAGAAGATCTGTAAAGTTGCAAAGACTAAAGTCTCAAATCCAAAGAGATATTCTTTATAAAAGTTAAGAGTCAACCACGCCCTCCTAAAATGGCTCATCCTAACACGCCCCCACATATCTACGTCACTATGTGGAAATATTAGCATAATGCCGCCCAAATGTGCACGCAAAGAAAGGCGGCGTGGTTTCAGGAACAGCAGTCGTGTTGATGCAGCCATGTCAGAGAGATGCTGTGTTTCAGTGTGAAAGCAAAAGCACTTTATTTGGCCTTCCGGAAGTAGATGCAATTAGGAATCATTGGTTAAGATTTATTTACAACAGAACAGCACAACCCAGATGTTCGAATTTGTGCAACGCATTTTATGGAGCACTGGGTCAGCTGGCCAATCAGAGCAGACTGCGCTTGTCAAAGGAGGGGGCTTTGTTGAAAACGACGCTTTTGAGAGAGGCGGGGCATAGAGGACCTACAATAATGTACAGTATTTGAAAAATAATGTGTTTTTTGAACATTAAAGCATGTCAACATATTCTGTTACACCAAATTCACAAAATAATGATCTTTAAAATAGCATCATATGACCCCTTTAAGACACTTGCATCTAGCCAAAAACTGTGATAGGCTATAGTTGTCAGTACTATTAACGCAGGTGAAGAAAGATATTGTATTTTCTGAGAATATAATGACCGACTTGAGTATTTCAAAATTCCCAACGTATTTAAATACAAATTATGTTTGATTTTGTTTTTATTTTTTTTGTCCAGCAAAATACAAATTTCAAAAATATTTGAAATACATTTAAATAAAATACTGCCCAAGTACCCATCTGAACTGGAGTATGAAAAGTCTTGTTTCTAACCCCACTGTACGTAATATTTTGAAAGACCTTGCAATACCAATCACAACACTTGAAAGCAAAATGCTTTCGGGCTGCTATTTTTAGCCTGCAACACATTAAAAAAAAACAATGTATACTGCATTTGAAAGATGACACCATGCATTCTATGAAAGTTGATCTGATATCATTGGCACAATAATACATAGGCCTAGTATATAGAAAATTTGTAAATTATAGTATTATAAAATTATAAATTATCATTAAATTATAATATATAGTAAATGAGTAAACACTACTACACTATTCCATACTACTGGTATGTGTGTGAGCATATGTGTGTATGTATGCGCATAAATATATATATACACACACATACACGTGTTATCATCAGGAAAATAATACTATTGAGAACTGCTTTAAAATATTCTCTCATTATTGTGACACAAAGGACAGAGAGATTTGATGACTCCAGTAAGCTTACAGATAATCAGGACAAACACAGGACACCCTTTTTGCACCTTATTTTCTGAAAGCCAATTATACATAACGGTGTAAAATCGTTTGTATCCGTTTAAATGTTATATGACCACACAGTGCTCTTAATAAAGTTCTAGAAGACGACAGCATTAAACCACTGAATCAACCCATACCAAACGTTCACCAAGAGCAAACAACAAAATAAAAGCAGCAAATATTCCCATTGCTAATGATCACCCTCGCAAATATTTCAGTCAAAACATGAAGATAATATAACTGATTTCATATGTAATTCTACGGTCATAATAAATGATAAGTGAATTATTTTGTAATTTATTGCAGCTGTCCTCCATGCCTACTCATCAAGTTAATCTATGGCTTATTTTAACGTAATCGCTTGCCACCTTCAGTGCTTTACTTTCAATTAACACAACTCAAAACAATAAAGAGTCGAAATAAAGACAAAGCGTATGGGATCATTTGACTTGAGGCAGTTAAAAGATGATCTGCTAACCGGCTATTGCAAACCGTTAGCCAGCTTTATAACATCTAAAAAGCGAGCGAACATCTCTGCTTCAGTTTTAATTAGCAATCATGTCAACCCAAATAATCGATAGCAGTATAACTAACACTACTATATCCTGTATTAAAATGAATGTATTTTATTGACGGTGTTATATATCTGCGCCAGTGTGTAATTAGCATGTTTAGCTTGGTCTTCACGAAGTGGAAAACTCAGCTTGCTTACTTTCGTATTATATTTTCCTAACTTGGCTTATTTCTGTATTACACAGTACAAGTTCAGTAACTCTTTAGTATCAAACGATTATATTTTTTATTGTATAAAACGTTTTGTAATGTCATAAACAACAATAAATAATAAGCCAAGCTAAAACAGTAGCAGCTCTGCTAGAATTATTTCTCTGCTTACCTTCTTCTGAGACCAAATCTCCGCTGATTTCGTTCCGACAGTTTTATTTTTGTTACAAAAAGTGGCTATATTGTTGAATTTAAGCCAAAAATCCTTCAAATCTCTATGTGTGGCTTTAAAAACAATCAGAGATTAAAGCTGAGGTCGATAAGGGTTTGCAGGTAGACTGTTAGCATTAGTAAGATAACTCGAGAATGGAGCAAAAAATTCCAGTATTGTTCTGGCTTTGTCAACGATGTATGCCTATTGTGAACACAGTAATATGATGGTAAATACTGTGTTTAAAAAAAAAAATCGTCTCTATAATGTCCAACCAGAGTTTCAATACTATTTCACCATAGCTAGTAGGTCCTCGAATTCGAAAAGCAATTGAAGAAGGCCATTTTGTTGACAAGCAGCTGCTAAACGCTTGTAGCCAATGGGGAGAGAAAGTTGATGGCATGCCCATATATGGATGTTTAGGCTCCCCCTCTGTCTCTACACCCACAAAGAGGAAAATTATTCTACCTCATCATCATAATGACCAGCAACATCTTTCACTTTTACTACATTTCACATAAAAGTCAAGTCTGAGCAGAAAAGATCATTGTAGAGTCTGTTTAGGTACTTTTTGACTCTGAGCACAACATGACAAGGACACACTGTGATTTCAGATGTTGCACCCAATTATCGAATCTTTATCTAATATTTACAGTAGGGTTATGATGTCTACACTCTAAAAAATGCTGGGTTAAATACAACCCATTTTAGAGTGTAGTGATTCACAGACCGGAAAAGAGATTTAAAGATGCACATGGAAATTACAGCACAATTACTGTTACACATTTCTACTGATGATGAATAAGCTGATGTGTGATATTGTGAGGAAAAATTCAGAAATAACTGAACAGTGGAATCGTAATGGAAATCTTGAAAATAACAGATAATTCAGAAGAAATGCATATGTAAACTATGAAAGTATGGAAAAGTCATATGCACTGCCGTCATTTTATCTATTTATTTATTTCATTTGTAATATTATTGCAGTTATATACTCTTAAAAAAAACTCTTAGCAGTGAATATTTAGTTATTTAAATGATGAATTTTGTCTAATTAATTGTGCTTGTATGTAACCTAAATGGGTAGGCCCAAATCATATTCCAAAATATTCAATTGATTAGCCTTTTAATAATTGTAGTTCCGTCGATGTACATCATGCAGTGTACGTGCACCACACAATATGTTCAGTGTTGAGTATATGTATGATCAGCGTATGGGTATATGTACAGTTCTTTGTTTAGCTACATTATGAGGACTGCATTGAAACTGAACAGTGCAGAGGCAGTGGGTGTTTTTATGTTTAGTAACAGATTTGAAGTAGAAACCGTTCCTTATGGTTTCCTAATTTGTTGCCATATCACAGGCAAAACAAGCATGCCATGATGATTATGCAAGAGCAGAGTAATATTGGAGCTACTAAACATCTCTTTAGGACTGAGATTGGTAAAATGATAACAAGATAACACATTCAGCAATCATATAATATGCCTCTAACGTAGGCTGTAGTGAGAAAGGGCTGTTTAGGCGAAGGCAAAGTAATGGAAATGTTGACAAACGCAGCCCAGTTAAGAAGTGTAGTAGAATAAACCATTTTGTAAGCTTTCATTTGTAAATAATTGATAAATAGTGCAAGGGATGCAAATAAGTGAGAGTGCATTCCAGACAATTGATTATATGGAAAACAAATGCAGTTTGTGCAAACTTACAGATGCTGTCATTAAGATTGAATCCACAGTGGAACGTCACATATTTTGTACTTGTTAATTAGTCTTTTATTACACACAACTACAGATACTACAGAACAAACCCCACTTATTATTTTGTATTTTTCCCTTTCTGTTGTTTTGGGAAACGGTAATAGATGAAGAGTGACCTGTGAAGAGGGAAAGTAAAATCATGGCCTTTATCAACCTTGCCCAAAGCTTCATTTTGCCTGAATTTTGAAAGGTTTTCCTAAATATTTGACAGGATCACAAACATAATAATAATAAGTAGGCTAGTTATATTCCTACTGTCAAGATAGCCCACATGTTCATTAGAAGTATAATATAGCCTATGGATGGATAGATTTGAATGGTGAACATTTATATAACAATCACTGATTTATTCTAAATTTAAACTTATTCTAAACTTAAATGGAACGTTAAATGTTTAAAGTTTTAAAATGTTTTTTTTTTTTACATGGACATTAATTGGCTTATGTTTCTGAAATTTTAACTCCAGAAATATGTTGGAAATGTATTATTGTTAACAAAACTATACTATTTAACTGTTAAACTATTTTTGTTTATTGAAATAAAATAAATATTAGATGCAAAATAAAAATGAGAAATGTTGCCTTGACAACTAATTGAAATAAGTTTTACAAAAGTAAGCAATTACTAAATTACTAACTGAAAATAAATAAAAACGAAAAATTGAAACTTAATAAAAACTTAATCAAAAATACATTCAACCTAAATAATAATATAAGAAAAACAAATTACAAAAGCACATTTACTAAACAGATTTATTAAAAATGAAACGTTAATTAATAACTATATAAGTATATGAATAATACTGAAATAATACTTTTCCTCTGATGGCATTTTGGAATGTATTTGTCTTTTAATCCAAAGTATATTGTTTAGTCTGTAGAAGTATCTATTTACAGTTTTCTTTTCCTGCATGCGCTGCTTATTTAGGAAATAAATGTTGTTTAAATAAATACTTTTAGACTTTAATAAGCAGTATGGTTTTGATACTTTGCAGCTTTGTGAGCGAGCCAGAGAACGGAAGGTACCAGCTACACGGATTAGTCGACTAGCTAATTTTGGAGGTCGGTGATTTCTCAGTTTTATATTAATTGTCATTTGCACTGCAGACTGTTTGTAATATACTATATATGTATATAATATAATATGAAGCCTCTCCATAATTTTGCTTATGTGACGGCACCTTAATAATCCATTAATTGTCCTAACCATAACAATGCTGCTGCTTCATTTTGTAGGATTAGCTGTTGGACTTGGCATTGGTGCCATTGCTGAGGTGGCGAAACAGTCTTTTGGAGGAAAACGCTCAGGCAATATGTGCTAACTTGCTTGAATGTGGCTTGACACCCCTTGTCATATTTTTGAAATTGTTATTGGGTAGGGTTACCATACGTGCCATTTTCCCAGGACGCGTCCTGGCCAGGATTTCTATATTGCCTAAAATATCTAGGTTTTGGCTTTGTTTGCGTGTGCAGACCGATCGGTGTATGACATCAAAATACCACACAAACGGTTATGCTTTCGAAACGCTCTCGAGGTACTTTGATGTCAAACACTGATTGGTCTGAGCCGCACTGCTTTTAAGTCGAACACACCTAATATGTGTGCGTAATTGCATCGCTTTGACCGTAGATCCCACCTTCTCACACACCATGACTGGTCCATTATATACAATGCTTGCATGTTATTGGTCAAACTACTTTTCAATCATTACCTTCAGCAAGCATGAAAACAAAGCCAAAACAAATCCTGGCCAGGACGCGTCCTGGGAAAATGGCACGTATGGTCACCATATTATTGGGGTTATTGGGCAAATTAGTCAAATTTCTGGTGTCTTTCACTTTCAGATATGGGGGCTCTTTTAGACTCTCCGTTCCTGTCAGAGGCCAATGCAGAGAGAATAGTGAACACGCTGTGTAAAGTTAGAGGAGCGGCCCTCAAGATTGGACAGATGCTAAGCATTCAGGGTACACAGTTTGATTTTATTTTGAATACTTTGGCGCCAAGTACCTCCATTTGTTCATTTCAATGATGACGCTAAATAATCCCTTTTCAAGAGATCCAGCTTGAAGTTAAGAGCTTGAAATCCTTTCTGATGTTTTCTGTCTTTTGATGCTCAACACAAAATATTTAGAGCTTTTCAAATGCACAAATGGAGTTAGATGCTTTATATTGTGAGGAGTAGAAAAATATTCTCATTTGATTTATCTAATTTTGGTATGCCCTCATTAGATAATGCCTTCATTAACCCACAACTGCAGAAAATATTTGAGAGGGTTCGACAGAGTGCAGACTTCATGCCAGCCTGGCAAATGCATGTAAGTTACTATGCGTTTACTGCGTTTTTCTTTGATCTTGTAGAACATTAACCTAACTATTAAAAATTGCCTTGATATCTTGCTGGAAATTTCCTTTTTATTAACAAGCAATTTCAATATTCATAAAAAAATTCTGTTAAGACTAGTGTTATTTTATATAGTAATGCATTACAATTTTGAGTTACTCCATAAAAAAGTAACTAATTGTGTTACTTAGTTACTTTTATGGAAATTGATGCATTACGTTACTTTTGCCTTACTTTTTGTCACCTGAGATGGGCTTGCTTTTTTTTAATTACAAAAAAACCCCAAAAGTTACATTTTTGCCAACTGTAAAGGCCCCTTCGCACCAAAAGTGAAATTAATAAGCCTCAGGCTGAAGGAAGTGCATCTGCACCTCACTCCCAATCAAACACGGTGACAGTGAATGAATGGGAAAACAAAGTAACTTAACTTAACTTTGAAAATGTAACTCGGATATCGCATTGTAAATTGAATAGTAATGCGTTGCTTTAATAGTTACTTGAAAAAAGTAGTCTGATTACGTAACTCACGTTACTTGTTATGCATTACCTCCAATACCAGCCTAAAAAAAAAAATGTTCATAGCTGTATTATTATAGTCGTGGCCTAATGGTTAGAGAGTTGGACTCGTAACCCAAAGGTTGCGGGTTCGAATCTCGTATTGGCAGGGATTGTAGGTGGGGGGAGTGAATGTACAGCGCTCTCTCCCACCATCAATACCATGACTAAGGTGCCCTTGAGCAAGGCACCGAATCCCCAACCCAGCATAAATGGCTGCCCACTGCTCCGGGTGTGTGTTCACGGTGTGTGTGTGTGTTCACTGCTGTGTGTGTGCACTTTGGATGGGTAAATGCAGAGCACTAAAGGCCACATGTCATGTCACTTATATATTATTTTAGTATTTATTGATATTTTGAATTAGTTTTCATTTTTATTTGTTTGTTGTAGTCATGAAAGCTTGTCATTTTCACACACATATATATTATTTCATATTTCTGTTTAGGTTTATTTTTGAAATTAATTTTAGTACTTCATCTTAGCTCAGTTAATTGCGAAGATTTTTTTTTCAATTTATGTATTTTTTTTCATCTAATCTTTCTTTAATTTTATTTCAGCTTTTTTTAAATTAACAAAAACTATTTTTAATGGTTTTAGTTGTAGTTACCAATAACAGCAGTGTGTGTTATATAGATTCTTCCAGCCACAAGGGAGTGTCAGTGCGCTTTAAGCAGCTGATTGATTGAGCTACTGAGTAACCGCGAAAATTGTTAGTGGTGCTTCAAGCCCTCTAATAGTTCTTTCCGACTGACATTTATCAGATGTTGTTAAATTCACTTTGTGATATCTCACCACACTGTCTGTGTTGAAACCGCATGTGTAGAAAGTGCTTGAGGAGGATTTAGGGTCTGGATGGAAGGAGAAACTCTCATCATTTGAGGAAAAACCCTTTGCTGCTGCCTCCATTGGTCAAGTGCATCATGGAGTTTTGCCTGATGGGAGGGAAATTGCTATGAAGATACAGGTATTAGACTGAAAATTTTCATCATCTGTTTTCAGCAATCAAAGGTTTTGCAGCATATGTTGATGTTATATGTGTAACGATTCATCATTCATTCATTTTGTTTTGAATGAATTGTCTCTCATATAGTACCCTGGTGTCGCTGAGAGCATTCGTAGTGACATCAACAATCTCATGTCTGTTCTGAAGATGAGTCTTGTGCTGCCTGATGGTGAGCACTGGCAAAGGCTTTCATTTTCATATCGAGTTCAAAAAGCATAAATTTCAGAAGGATCCATATTGAGTCACATTGTGTGGGATGTCAGTAGCTGGTGATTTATTTTACCAGGTCTATTTGCTGACAGTAGTCTTGAGGTACTTCAGAGGGAGCTGGCATGGGAGTGTGACTACAAGAGAGAGGCGGAGTGTGCAAAGCGATTCAGGTATTCTCAGTTATAATAAATGTTTGGATTGTGTTTAAATTAACCACAATTAAATTAATTTGTAACTACACTAATGTTTAGAAGTATGGGGTCACTAATGTTGTTTTAAAACAAAGTATGCTCACCAAGACATTTATTCGATGTATATATATTCAAACAGAATATTTTCTATTTGAATATATTTTTAAAAAATTTACTTTATTATTGTGATGGCAAAGCTGAATTTTCAGCATTATTAATTCAGTCTTCAGTGTCACATGATCCTTCAGAAATCATTCTAATATCTGCTTTTCTGCTCGAGATACATTTTGTATTATCAGTGTTGAAAACAGTTTTTTCTGTATTCTTTGATGAATTGAAAGTTCAAAAAGAGCAGCATATATTTATATAACATATAACAGCAAATATGAATCTTTTGTAACATTATAAATGTCTTTACCATCATTTTTAAACAATTCTAAGTGTTCTTGCTGAATAAAAGCATTCATTTCTCTTAAAAATATTGTAGTAACCCCAAACTTTTGAACAGTAGTGTAAATGCCAGTAAAAGGCCCATATCTCATAGATCTGTACTGCTCCGTTTAAAAATATATGACAAAAATCTTTACACATTGATTAATTCTCTTGTCTCTAACAGGAATTTGCTTAAAGGTGATCCAGTATTTGTTGTCCCTGAGGTTTTTGATGAGTTGTCGGGTCGTCGTGTGATCACCATGGAACTAGTTCATGGAGTTCCACTGGACCGCTGTGTTGATTTGAATCAAGAGACTAGAAATGAGGTGGGTTAGATTGTTAAACAAACATATTAAAAGCTTTTTTGATTTGCTTAATATTTTATATATATATATATATACAATGACTTTTTAAATCAAGCATAGACTATTTACATACATCTTTATTGGTCATTTGTTGGTTATTTGTGTAAATAACCTACAGTAATATTTCTTCTGGTTTGGAGATATTTGGATAGCTTATGTTATTTTATTGTGAAAATGAATTGGAGAAATAATTCTTGTACCTTTATTCTGTAGATCTGTTTCAACACCCTGCAGTTGTGTTTGAGAGAGCTGTTTGAGTTCCGCTTCATGCAGACAGACCCCAACTGGTCCAACTTCTTCTATAATAGTGAACAGAACAAGGTGAGCAACTACTAAGACGAGCATGATGGACATGTCTATCATCTATATAATCTATATATCTATAGATTTGATCTTCTATAGTTTCATTTGAACATTTTCAGTTCCAAAATAACAGACCATTGTATAATTATTAGATTTAGCGATTTGTGTGGGTGACGCTAGTGTAAAATTATGCAGCAGTGCTGTTTACTCATCTCCCTAACACACAAAAACAACACATTCTGTATTTCTCAAAACTATTCTTTTGTGTGCATGTTCTTACAGTCCACTCAGTTCCAATCAGCTCTGAAGGTCTTGATGACTTTTTAGAAATCACATCAAGATCACATGAAATAGATACTATTATTCAAAAGTTTTTTTTAATACTTTCATTCAGCACGTTTGCATTAAATTGATCAAAAGTGACATTAAAGACAATTCTAATGTTACAAATATAATTTTTTCATATAAATGCTGTGCTTTTGAACTTTCTATTCATCAAAGAATCCTAAAAAAAACTATTGCGGCTTCCACAAAAATATTAAGCACCAAAACTGTTTTCAACATTAATGTGAAATGTTTGAAATGTAGAACTGTTTCTTGAGCAGCAAATCAGCATATTAGAATGAATTTTGAAGGATCCTGTAACACTAAAGACTGGAGTAATGACTGCTGAAAATTATTATATATTTTACAGTATTGCAGTGTATTGTATTTTATTTTTCTTTCAAAAAAGTAGTTTATGTTGCCACATTTCTTTCATAATTTTTAAAGGGGTCCTATTATGCTCTTTTACAAAGTCTTGATTTTGTTTTGGGGGTGTACTAGAACGGGCTCTCATACTAGGTTATTTTTCACATATTTTACATTATTACAACACCTCTCTCCCCAGTCTGGCATGAACAGCTCGAATAGTTCTTGAATCAAATGAAGGCCCGCCTTCTGAAATACGAAATGTGCTGTGATTGGTTAGCTGGGCCAGTGTGTGCTGTGATTGGTTAGCTGGGCCAGTGTGTGTTGTGATTGGCAGCACTCGGCGCCTGGTCTGGAAATGTCACACCCCTTACCATAGCCGCCTACGAGCTTCAGTGTAAATATTGCGTCAAAATCAAATCAATTTGAGCGCGATTTAAACCCGGATGATTATAACCACTCTAAGTTCGTCTGCCTTGGGAAAGCTAGCGCGTCTCTGACATAGTGATAACACTTGTTGCCTTCTCTAGTGCAGATCAACCAGGTCTCGTCCCATTTCGTCGATATTTGTGATATCATAAATCCCGGAAAATATGCGTTGTAGTCCAAACGAGTCGTTTGTTGTAGTTTTTGAAAAGTGATTTCAGTTAAATAAAATATCTCCTTTTGAATTGGACTTTGAGCTTTGTAACTTTGCAGATCTTTTTTATGCTCAAACAGCAACATTACAGACTGACTAAAGTTGAAAAAGTGAAAAAGCATTATAGGACCCCTTTAAATGGCATGTCTGTCTGTTATCTGGGTGCTGTTAGGCCTTTCCACTTTTCCCCACTGAAATTTTGATGGTTTTTCTTCATTATAACAGATATTTCTGTTGGACTTTGGAGCCTGCCGAGATTACCCAGAGTCGTTCACAGATGACTACATAGAGGTACAGATTTTTACTCAACACTTTAGTTGGTGATGTGATCAAAGGTTTTTTCCTGTAAGGTGGCATTTATTAATGGGAATCTCTTTTATTATTATTATTAGCATAGATACATAAAATATCCAGATAATTGCAGATATAAATTTGTTAATTATTAAAACATTTGAATAGAACTGGCAATATAAGATGTTGCAGAATATGTTAGTAAAGAGAACATATTTCTTCCATTTTATGTACCTTTAAGCATGTGCAATATTATTTTGTTCAAATTATTAAGGTGGTTCATGCAGCGTCAGTCGGAGACAGGGCTACTGTTCTGCAGAAATCGAAAGTTCTAAAGTTCCTTACTGGTTTTGAAGCCAAGGTTTGTGGCTTTATATGTTTTATAATATTCATCCCCAATATCTCTTATATTCCTTTGTTATTTCCCCCTAGAATCAATGCTATTACTTTCTTTACCACTCTACTGTTTCTAGAGTGTTCACTTTAACAAAACAGTCTTCCTCTCTCCAGGCCTTCGAGGATGCACATGTAGAGGCAGTTATGATCCTCGGTGAAGCATTTGCTTCTACTGAAGCGTTTGACTTTGGCACTCAGAGTACCACACAGCGCATCCAGAGCCTGATCCCAGTCATGCTTCAACACCGTCTCACTCCTCCTCCAGAAGAGTCTTACTCTCTGCACCGCAAAATGGCTGGCTCATTCCTCATCTGTTCCAAGCTGAAGGCCCGCATTCCCTGCCGAAATATGTTCCTTGATATTTACAATGCCTACCATGGTAAGCGACAGGACAGATGCACCCAGGTTTAGACTTCACAGGAAGACGCGTAGAGTTTGGATGGTGTAAAGTACCATGGGAAAGTGCACTACAACCAAGGGCGATGTTTTCTTGTATGTATCATGAAAGTGAATGCATTGTGTGTTTTATATTTGGCAATCACTCATGAACCTGGAGATGTTAGATGTTAAGCCTCTGACAGACACATGCTTATTTATAAATGTGGAGAGTTCAGATGTTCCATAATATAATTCTATGTATGTCCAACATTTGTTTATACTTTTTTTTTTTTTTCATTTTTAGTTTGAAAACAACAGCAACAACAAAATCCTCTCATTTGTTGGTTTATCAAACAAGCAGCTCTGAGTGTAAAGGTGCAGAATTTGTTCAGAAGTCACTGTTATGATCATTGCCAAGCTTTTAAAATTAATATTAAACAACGAACACATTTCCTCCAGTGGAGTGAAATACATCTTTGTGGTGAATGAAATGAATCTACAATATCATTTTAGATAGGATAGTTTGATTTAACATCATTTTGCTATTTATTTGATGGTAGAAAGTCATTGTAAGTCTGTGTGTATGTCACTTCTCATCATTAAAAGTATGCGACAATTGTTTTAATATTTTACTGACTATGGTACATAAAAAAACGACAATCATCTCAAATTTTAAAGCTGGGGTCTTCCCAGATATTCTGCTTGCTTCATTCATTCATTCATTCAGCAAAAAGTATCGTGGTACTATGGAAGCACCATAGTATTATTTGATGCTTTTGTTAATAAATATGGTAATTATCTATACATTTATTTTTAATTGCTCACAGTATAAAACCCAGAGCTTCCTTGCTGATATATTTAAAAATAAAAACACATTTTAATATAAACACAATCGAAATACATTTAAATATATATTTGTTTTAATATGTATACATATATATATATAGGGATGCACTGATGTTAAATCCTGGCAGGATTGCTGTGGCCGGTAATTGATAAATGGCCATTAATTACAATTCTGAAATATTTTGTGTGTATAAAAAAAGGTCAAGTAAAATAAAATCATATAAAATGATTAAGACCAAAGTATTACTTTTTACTGTGTTATTAATTGCTGTTTTCAAAATTTTTTTTTTTCATTTTTAGTTTGAAAACAACAGCAACAACAAAATCCTCTCATTTGTTGGTTTATCAAACAAGCAGCTCTGAGTGTAAAGGTGCAGAATTTGTTCAGAAGTCACTGTTATGATCATTGCCAAGCTTTTAAAATTAATATTAAACAACGAACAAATTTCCTCCAGTGGAGTGAAATACATCTTTGTGGTGAATGAAATGAATCTACAATATAATTTTAGATAGGATAGTTTGATTTAACATCATTTTGCTATTTATTTGATGGTAGAAAAGTCATTGTAAGTCTGTGTGTATGTCACTTCTCATCATTAAAAGTATGCGACAACTGTTTTAATATTTTACTGACTATGGTACATAAAAAAACGACAATCATCTCAAATTTTAAAGCTGGGGTCTCCCCAGATATTCTGCTTGCTTCATTCATTCATTCATTCAGCAAAAAGTATCGTGGTACTACGGAAGCACCATAGTATTATTTGATGCTTTTGTTAATAAATATGGTAATTATCTATACATTTATTTTTAATTGCTCACAGTATAAAACCCAGAGCTTCCTTGCTGATATATTTAAAAATAAAAACACATTTTAATATAAACACAATCGAAATACATTTAAATATATATTTGTTTTAATATGTATACATATATATATATATATTATTTAGAGCTCAGAGCATATGTGCAGTTTATATTTTTAAGCAAATCATTATTTGCGAAATTGTTTTGTTGTAAGACAGCACTCGCTCAGTTCAAAAACGAAAAATAAAAAAATATTTTTGACAATAGAGAAACGTAAACGTTCAGAGAAAGTGTGTGTTGGCCTCTAGATGACGGTATTCTATGCCTTCCGTCTGTATGCACTGTATCCCATTCAACTCTTGAACATCAGCGGGAAGAGAACATTTGCATAAACGCCCGTGTGCGCCAATGGGCTCGTCGAGTGGGCGGGGCTAGCGGGTGGAGCCGCGGGAGGAGCGCAGTCTATGCGCCAGTGACTGCTGCTCAGTGAGTAACGAACGCAGAGATGATCCAAAATCCGTCCATTCTTTCAGTTCGAAATTTACGACCATCCGAAGCGCTTCCGTCCACGTGCGTCTGATCGAGCGTCAGTTTCGCGAGAAATTCGGATGCAGAATAATCTGAAGTTACCCCCCCCTCCCCAACCCCCCCACCCATATTTTCTGTGGGTTACACAAAAGGCGGCACGGACACTCATTGTAGTAACCTTCTATTCGGTAAGTCCCAATGGCAATCTGTGCTTTCATTTAACATGCATTATTTATAGTTTTAGGTTATCATGAAATACAGCTGAAGTGTTTGGAGATTGCACGTCTATGTAGTTTCATCAGGTCCATATCTTTGATAAAACATGCAGATATTTGTCCAATAACAATAATAATGGAGTTATTCCCTTAGAGTTCTGGGAATATGATGGGGAGAAAAATGTATTAACCACTAACGTCCATCAAGACGTGCTTTTCTGGATATACTAGATTGTCAGTGTGATTGAGTCCAGATGTTTCTAAACACACAGCATCATAAAACACCACCTATAAGAAAGATGCAAATGCAAAAATAACACAATCTAGTGTAAAACGATGTAAGAGAGTGATATTATGTCTTTATTAGAAACGCTTTACATATAGCCTCTCTCATCAATAATTAGATGACTGTTATTGATCCATAATGGTTAGGCCTTAAGCTCTGAGGAGTTGTAAGAGCCCTAACTGAAATATGGTTTGAGTACAGGACTGCAGTGTACAGATGCTTCAATATCACCAACATTATAATGAGTATAGAGTGATTAGAAATATTCTTACTTAAATTGATTGCTCAAATTATGGTTTTAGAATCCCTTTATGGATAGAATTTGCATTTTGTAAACTTGGTTTTAGATCAAGAAAGCGTTTGAAAGCATGTCTTCTTTGGAACACAGAATCAAAGTCCATACAATGAAAGTCAATGGGGTCCAAAACCACACTGGACCCCACTGACTTTTAATATATGAAAAAAAGAGACCTTCACTGGAAAGAAAGCCATATACAGTATGATGGTGAAGTTTCCTTTTTTCTTGAATTAACTATATCTTTAAATCTTTGAAGTCTAGTGTGTTTTGCCCACATTAAACTACTAAGAATGATACATCAGTCCTCTTCATCATAACATTTTTGTTTCTATCTATTTTATTGCTACAGACATTTTCTATAATTTCTACTCAATTCTATCTGTTCAGCTTGATTCTTTTCATAAGTAATTAAAATCGAAGTGGTTGAAAGGCTCCAGGTTGATTTGATTTGACTTCAAATTTAAGGGAACACTTAAACTTATACATATTTTTCATTTACACATATATTCTCCCAGCAACCAGTAAAAAGTTTTTTTGAGACTTCATATCATCTTACCTTTTTTTGTACATTCTTATTGCATTGCTCATTCTAACAGTATGCGTTCTTTTCAAAATCTTCAACACTAGTCCAACTCTAGTACACAATCTCTGGTTCATAAGTATGATTAAAATATGAGGATTGTTATGTTGCTTCAGTCCTGGCGTCCAATGTAGTGGACATGAAAAAAAACAATGAGTTGGTACAAATCTAGACAAGTGGTTTGGAAAAAATCCAGGTCTGAAAGGGTAAAATAAATTTTGTTCAAGAATAGGAATCTATTTTTTTTTTCATTTCCCAAGGGTCCAGTCTTTATGGGCTGATTTGAAAGTAATTCACATGAAAAACTGTAAGCACCTCTGTAAGCAACTTTTCTGAGCAGCACTATTTAATCACCTGTCACAATGACTGTTGGTATTGGACATCCGTAACAGCTGAATGGGTTTTTTTAACTGTCCTGAGTGGGTTCCGTCTGTTCTGCTTGTCTGTGGTAAGTGTGCGCCCCATTGTTATACATATGGATGAACAAGAGGACACAGCAGCTGAAACTACAATAGCGTAGGGGCAAAGGGCAATCAGACGGCTGCCAGCTAATCTGTGGCACTGGAGAAGGATATATTTTCCTTTGTAATAATAAGAGTGTGACTTTTAAACAATGGACTACAATTCTACGCCATATAGAGATTGGGTGCTTGAAAAAGCCATTTCCGTTTTTTTTGCTGAGTTGCAATGGGTGAATTGTGCAGAGGGATTTGTGTGGTAGAATCCACAGCTCAGTACTGCCATGTCTTATATTTGACAGAGGATTGTGGCCTATCTCATTACCAGGCTTTCATAATGTAAAACATTGAAATGAATAGTTCTTGGTCCATTTATTTGTATTTATTTGTACTGGCTCGACCACAAAAAGTTTGTATTTTTCATTAGATTTTATGGGTTTTTTTACAAAAAGAATATTGATTTATTAGGTGTTAATTTGCAATAAGTTATGTAGCTATACGAATATGGAAATCATTCTGTATTATGGTATATATTAAAATACCATGGTATTCATTTGCCAGGAAAAAAAGTCCGTTTTTTTTGCTGAGTTGCAATGGGTGAATTGTGCAGAGGGATTTGTGTCTTTGCGATTTGGTTTATTTACTGCCATGTCTTATATTTGACAGAGGATTGTGGCCTATCTCATTACCAGGCTTTCATAATGTAAAACATTGAAATGAATAGTTCTTGGTCCATTTATTTGTATTTATTTGTACTGGCTCGACCACAAAAAGTTTGTATTTTTCATTAGATTTTATGGTTTTTTTTACAAAAAGAATATTGATTTATTAGGTGTTAATTTGCAATAAGTTATGTAGCTATACGAATATGGAAATCATTCTGTATTATGGTATATATTAAAATACCATGGTATTCATTTGCCAGGAAAAAAAGACTTAACAGGCATAACTTAGGAAAAAATGACTCTCGGAGTTTCCTCTACATTTGCGTGGAAAATTCTGGAGTCATTCAAAGTAATCACATCAAAGCTGTGAAAATCAGGGTAGTTTAGCTCAATTTCTAAGGTTGGCTTTTACACGCCATGCACACGTTTGAACGCTTGCTTGTAGACCTTCCATTTTCCACTGCATTAAGAATATCATAACACATCCACTAGTACATGACTTTACATTATGTATGACCACACTTTACAGTCCACACATTACAGTGAGATCTCAAGTGACAGAGTGAAACAGCTCTTTCTCTTCCTAGTGCTCATAATGGGTAATTTAGTGATGCTTGGCA